ACTTCAGGCTATCCTCCCACATTAAGCTGACACGCAGTGATATATACTGTTAAAAGCGGCGTTAAACCCAACTCACTCACTCACTCACTCTAAAACTCTAACCGACAAACTTACGACAAATGTCGTTATTCTCAAATTACTAGATTAATTACTAAAACGACAGACGTGGACAGGGCAGGGCATAGTGCCTCGCCCCATTTCGCAAACACTGAGAGGTACGGCAATATAAGTCTCATTGAATTTACCTTCTAAATATATCACTTTGATGTTTTACGATCCAGTCATCTGTATTCAAGATATATATATCAGGGTGGCCTGTTCATGCTTTCTAAACAGTGGCTCATATCATGATCAGTGTTCCATGCCGTTCGATTACGATGGGACAAAATCAACCAAGGAACTGACCCTGCCCATCCGGTCCCCATGATATTCGCATGTGGCACTGGGGAACCTGTTTTGACCGAGAATGATATTGATGGAATATTGTTGATTGAGGTGTACAATAATTATCGATTTCACTTCTCATGGTATTGAATAATAACAAAGGGTCCTAGATTTTAGCCTGTACAAAACTATGGTCACAAACTACCTCTGTTAGAACACTCGGTTTATAACATCAATGATTAAATAGTTCCAAATGATAACACGACACAGCTAGTTTGATCATATTTCCTTCATAACGACACTTAGGGAAACTACAAGAATCAGAAGCACATAGTCACGCCACACCTACGGCTGTGAAACAGAGAGGTGGTATGATCAATAAGCTCTTACGATCTGAATGTTTATTTTGATGTCTCAAATGTCCACTTTCACAAGACACATGAAGGATAGGAGGATCCATGAAGATGAAACAGACACGAACGCACGATGTCCTCCACAGAAACCATTATAGTAGTACCGTTAAACAATCAGCGGGTGAGTTTGGGAACTGGCGACCCGATAAGGCTTCCTACCCAGAAACATGTTCTAGAAGGAAGCTGATATGGTTGTACGTTTTCACCAGGGGAGATGCTAAGTTTGACTTCCCTACGGTAGGGCGGAACATGCTTACCCCTTTCGTGAACACCTGGTGTCATCACAGATATTAAGTGATCCATTGACATAATTTCACCATTATTTTGCCTTTTACGCGCAGTGGATACTGTTTCGGCAGATAATCTAGTCCATTTCTTCTCTGGCGTTGATATTTTATATTTACCCGTTCCACCGGTGTGGATCAGGAAACGCTCAATTTTTCGTGATTACCTGGTATCTCGTGATACTCATACTCACATACACGTGATACAGTCGTAAATGTATGTATGTATGTATGTATGTATGTATGTATGTATGTATGTATGTATGTATACAGCAAACACTACGTTTATAACGAACATGCTTATAACGAACTGGCGGATATAACGGCCATTTGCTGTATACAGTAAACTACTGTTATATCAAACTCAAAAGAACTACTAATTTTAGTTCGTAATAACCGAAGTTCGTTATAAGCATATATACAGCATATATACAACAAATGGCCGGGACTGAAAAATATGTTCGTAATATCGGTCAGTTCGTCAAACATGTTAGTTATAAACGTAGTTTACTGTACACATGCTTATAACAAACTAAAATTAGTGTTCCCTTGGGCTCGTTATAACCGTAGTTTACTCTGTGTGTGTGTGTGTGTGTGTGTGTGTGTGTGTGTGTGTGTGTGTGTGTGTGTGTGTGTGAGAGAGAGAGAGAGAGGTGGTGAGGTGGTGAGGTGAAATTTGGTTTAACATCGCGTCTGCACTTATATAGCGTGTGTGTGTGGCTGCTTGTACTTGTCCGGACTGATGCCGATTTATAGTGCTAGCAGTTTTAACATGAATATCCTACTCAGACACAGTATTTTGACTCCAAGTCGACCAGTCCTTGTTTTAGCTCTTTAATGCCGAGCGCCAGACAGGGTAACAACAGGTACCATTTTTAACGTCTTTTGGTCTGTCGCGGCCGGGGATCGAACACCGGACCTTCCGCTCTCCGGGCGGACGCTCTACCACTAGACCACGGAGGCAGTCTGTGTGTGTGTGTGTGTGTGCGTGTGTGCGTGCGTGCGTGCGTGCGTGCGTGCGTGCGTGCGTGCGTGTGTGTGTGTGTATATATTGTCGCTATTATTTATTCAGAAGATATATACTAGAATGCACTTTGCCCTCTCTGGAGAATGCGTCCAAGGTCAAGGCGTCGATATTTCAATGATACATGATGTTTTTAAACAATAACACAAACATGTTAATCGACTAGAAAGTTCAGTCCAGTTCAGTTTCTGTGTAGTGCGTGTAACCCTGCGAAATCGAACGAAAACAGACAATCAAGAATGATGGTTACATTAGCTACCAGGCTAGGCTTTCCCTCGATACAGGCCCTAGAGTTCCCTCTCGATACGTTAATCCACTGACATGTATCCTAGCATAAGCAGTATTGAACGTTCGGGGCCACTTCAGTTGTCCTGACCTGTCAATCTGCATGCACTCACAATTGAGTGATACTTCTCAGTTCTGTACCCATTAAAGATAGTCGATTATCGACACCATATATTGTGTGCAAATCTTAGCGACAGAAGGATTGGCAAAAGTTTATTTTGAAGGGTTACTATTTTCAAAAAGTATTGCTTACCCTCACAGAAACATTGTTACCGGCTGAAATCTGTCAAAACAGTAAGCAAGTGAATGTCGTTTTGCCCTATCCAGGGGAAGCGTCGGGAGATTATAATACAAAATTATCCAAGTTACTCATAAGTCGACTATGAGTGAGTGAGTGAGTGAGTGAGTGCCGTTTTGGGTGAATGAGTGAGCGAGTATGGTCTTACGCCACTGTTAGCAATAATCCTGCAATATCACAGATGGGGACACAGGAAATGGGCTTCACACATTGTAATCATCTGAGGAATCAAACTCGGGTCCTAGGCGTGACGAGCAAGCGCTTTGACCACAATGCTACCCCACTGCCCAAGTTGATTATAAAGACAAAAAAAGGGCACTTAGGGACCTAATCTACACAAATGGTACAACCATACACATTGAAATAATTTAACATTTAACAAGGGGTTTTATCACAGCGTATTCGCGGATGCACAGGTCTAAATTATTCATGGCTGTATCCGTTCTGTCAATTCCCCAACGTATGGTAACAGACATCTCATATTATTTTGAGCGGTCCATATATTAATGCTTTAATTAGGCACGCCGATCACGCCTCTGCTATGACCTGTCCCCAGTAACCGCCATTCTACTTAGTGGGCGCATATATCGATTCCCTGGAACAGTGGGCTGAACAAGGATGGGCGCGGAGCTTAAATTGCCATTGATTGTCTTTATTCTGAGTTGATAATTAGGCCACAACTCGACTGTAAACAATGTAATACATATTGTAGAATATATATGGAGATGTGTATTATAGATATATGTCACCAACTGAATATCCTATATTACTCAGTTGGTATTGCCATCCTGTTTAAGTACAGTCAACTACGGTTATAACGAACTCGCTTATAACGAACTGACGGATATAACGAACTTACTGTTTGGTCCCGACTATTTGCTGTAGTTATGCTGTATATATGCTTATAACGAACTACGGTTATAACGAACTAAAATTAGAAGTCCCTTTGAGTTCGTTATAACCGAGGTTTACTGTATTAGAGTACCGAGTAACGCCGGGAAAGTCTCATGTCAATCACTAGATCCTAGATAGAATTATGTGTCATAGAGGAGGAGACGTGTTATATTTCCAGGTCTATTATGTCAGCAAATGTTGTAGACAATGAGTGTGTGTGACCACAAATTTTACCATTGAAGGATTTTGCCAAATCGATTATCTGTCTTCGTAGAAACCTTCTTTGATAGGCATTTAGAAGTTGTTGTACTAATAAGTAAGGATAAGAATTAAGAACTTTTAAAGAACAACTTCTTTATTACGACGTTTTGGTGTAGGTTCTAACACCGTTATCAAGCACTTATAATCAACTTAGGCGGTGAGGTAGCATTGTGGTCAAAGCGCTCGCTCGTCGCGCCTAGGACCCGAGTTCGATTCCCCAGATGATTACAATTTGTGAAGCCGATTTCCTGTGTCCCCATCCATGATAGTGTTAGAACATACACCGAATCGTCGCTCTTAATTGTAATAAAATTCTTATCCTCACTTCGTAGAAAACTGTGGAAATACTGATCATTTTATACACATCACATATATGAATGCTTGTGTAGGAATATGATCTAGCTATTGATTGTATGTCATCGATTAATTTAACCTTTAAGGATATTCCGAAAAGATAAGAGTAAACAAGAGAAAAAAAAATATACAATTTTGTTCTGTCATTGAATGCCAAATATACAATTGTAATACCCGCCTGATTATCAAAGCAAGAAAATTTCAAAAGTTAAATGAAAAATAGAATCCAGTTTAAATGTCTCACAACGGATGTGAATCTTCTACCGCGCTGTTATAATGACTGTATGTATTTGATCCCTGATCATTCACTCCATCGCGCTTTATATTCCCTTTCTATTCTGTTACCATGCCCCTTCTCCTAAATGTCCCAGCTCTACATGTGACCAGACTGCCGAACTGATCAAAATATTCAGAATATTAATTGGAAATAAATAAGAAATTACATTTTTTTTTCAAAAGAGATTAATACATTGATTATTGCTTTCATGTTGCCCGCCTTAATTGTCACGGTGACAAAGATGATGCTACTCATTATTGATAAAACTTCTTAAAGATCAGCGTTGGGCGTCTTCAGAGTCAATGAATCGCAAACCTCCATTGTCTGAGATCGCTACCTGAGAAATTGTTTATGTCCAACTTGATTTACGGTTCATGGTAAATTACGCCTAACACGGGAAGTGTAGCCCCGGGAACAGCGCGTTACCAAAGGCAACAAGAAATTCTGATAGGAAATACCCGGGTTGCTGCGATTATGATCGAGGGCATAAATCTCACAATTGACTCATTCACCTTCAGAGTAACTTTGTAAATTTCTAACTTCCGGCCAGGTTCTGAGATTCATAGCAATTCGGCTATTTACATTTGGCATGACTAACTTCATTGAACATTGGAACATGTAACTATAGCAACGTACGATTATTGCATCGATTGGTTGAAATTTTAGATGACATGATCAAAGAGTTCGTGGCGCCTTAAGATGGCTGTGGCGATAACGGAGAGAGCCAGAGACCCACGCTTTCCATTCATATCCTCGTCGTTGTCAATAGAACACGCCTTGCACCATGCTCTCGTACAGCCGCGTCAGTGTCGGCCTAATGGTCTTTATTTGGGGAATAGTTTCTCCTCCTTCAGATGCTAGAGGAGTGAAGACACTACGAGTTGGTTATGGAAACAGTTTACAGGTAATTCTATTCTTTCTTATGTTGTGTTTAAAAGGTGCATATTTACTTGTAAGTTATTTATATAAAAGGTCACCATATTAATATTTTTACTTTTTTAGATTGAATATTTTGGGAAATCACACGCTAGTTATGTTGTACCAGATAGTCTATCTCATAATGTACATGTGTGTTTTCGAATTCCAGATTTGACTAATAAAGAATACTTGAATTAAATTAAATAAAACCATTTTTCACGGTTTCCTTTGTAAGCAATGCATTTCTGGTGATAATCACTTGCTTCAGCACATAAAAAAAGACAACGAAGGTATGTACTTGTAGTTTGACACAAAAGCGACAAAACCATTTACATAATCTGCTAAAAACAGAGTCCATTGTCTAGATTCCAGAGTCCAGATTCTGACAATATCATGAGCATATGTTTATGAATCACTATCAAATAGTGATTATACCAGGTGTTCGTGAAAAAGCGCGCGTATCATGTTCGATTGATGACTCCCGTCACAAACACATGCAAAAGCAAGTCAATTGTTCACCCGAAAAACAAATATCCAAATAGGGAATTGTGGGAATGCCCGAACCATTTCTTGCACTGGATTCACCATTAACGTGTTACTCCAAGAGACAGGCACAATTGTTTTCTGGGACACACATAAGATCATAGCCATTCATTGATTCATTGTTAGAATGCATAAGTTCGTATATATTTAGATGTACAAAACAGCGTGAGTAATTCTGAATATATAATCGATCGGGCTAAAGTTTGGATGGTTGTCAACAGACAAATGTTGGAACATAGTCTGACATTTCATTTAAAATTAGGCAGCGCACGTTATGAAGACGGTGACAAAATGAGTCTACCCCCGGTATAAATATATACCCCTTAAATTAACAAAGTGTGGTTTTATTACATATCACTGTTTTTAAAAGCAAATACGTCGTACCTCGGACCATGTTTCTGAGGACCAAGATAATTATCGACCACTCCATCCCGCGTTTATCCACAGGCTGGGATGTCTGTCGTTAAGGTGTTAACTGATACACAGTAGTGTCCGATTTGCCCGAGTACTGACAGCTCTGTCCTACACATTGACACCATGACTGATCCTTGAGACCTAAGTGCAAGTAGTGAGTGAGTGAGTATGGCTTTACGCCGCTTTGAGCAATATTCAAGCAATATCACGGCGGGGGACACCAGAAATGGGCTTCACGCAGTGTACCCATGTCGGGAATTGAACCCGGGTCTTCGGCGTGACGAGCGAACGCTTTAACCACTCGGCTACCCGACCGCTCCCTAAGTAGAAGTAAACGCTATGGAGATCGCAGAGCTAAAACAAGCAGTAAAACTGAAAGCTAAATTGAAATACACTATGTGAGTGAGTGAGTATGGTTTTACGCCGCTTTAAGTAATATTCCTTCAATATCACGGCGGGGGACACCAGAAATGGGCTTCACACATTGTACCCATGTCGGGAATCGAACCCGGGTCTTCGGCGTGACGAGCGAACGCTTTAACCACTAGGCTGCCCCACCGCCCCGAAATACACTATGTACTCAAACATATTGTGGTTAGTATGTGAATTCTTGGTTGGATAGGGTACTGAACACTACAGGGCCAGGTGTCAACATTATACAGAAGATTGGAGAAGTAATTGTCTGTAGGTTTTGAGGGGCGGTCGGATAGCCTAGTGGTTAAAGCGTTCGCTCGTCACGCCAAAGACCCGGGGTCGATTCCCGACATGGGTACAATGCGTGAAGCCCATTTCTGGCGTCCCCCGCATTGATATTGCTGGAATATTGCTATATATTCCATATTCCATATTCACTCACTCACTGTAGGTTTCGACCACTTCTGTATCACACGCCATGGACGTTGTTCTTGTCAGCTTTGTTTCCGCGTTAACTGGATTATTTTCAAATAAGTGCCATAAAGACGAGATTTCTATTTTAAATCAGGGATAGAAGGCAAAATGAATTTGTGACTTTTATCAAATAATAGAATTACCATGTTGTTTCCTGGCAACGCTGGTGTTTTTTCATTAGTATCGCTGTTGCCTCTTTAGTACATGTAATGTCACTGTTATTAGAATCAAGATTTTAGGGGGGCACGGGAGGCCCAGTCGTCTAAGGCGCCGCAATTCGCTGTGCAGAATTGCGTCCCTTGGGCACGCCAGAAACCTATGATTGTGGGTTCGAATCCCGGTTCGCCCCAATTATGTTTCTAGGTTTGTCAGCACCATACCCGTGCTCGTGGGTTTCACCGAAGTGGTAAACGTCTAGGACCTGCATCACTTCGGGCTTTCCTCCCACATTAAGCTGACACGCCGTGATATAACTGGAACACTGTTAAAAGCGGCGTTAAACCAAACTCACTCACTCACTCACTCAAGATTTTAGATTCCTTTGGGAAGCCCTTGGTTGATATTCTACCAAACAGTCTCTGACGTGACCTTGTGTCTGCTAACACGAACCGTTAAGTACACATTGTCCTTGCGTAGAGGTCAGGGTCATGAGACGTCGAACAATTATCTAATAAACCTTTGCAGGTGGTCGTTGTTCATCAAATCATGGTCATATGTCGGAACGCGAGGTCAATAATTGCAACACGACTGTGTGTTTGATGAAACGTGTTGCGTGGATCATCCAAGTGACGCTTATTTGACATTTAAGCGTGAAGGATAAAGTAAATGTTTGCATTCTGAAGATCGTGTCATGAAATTAATGTCCATTAGTATAGCCAGTGAAGGCACCAGGCTTTTGAGATATCAAATTTGAAAGTCCAATACCACTCTTGCTAAAGAAATGTTTGATCAGGGTTGCAACATTCAAGACCTCATTTAAGCTTTCAAACGTTTTCGGGGGCACGGGTGGCCCAGTCGTCTAAGGCGCCGCGATTCGCTGTGCAGAGTTGCGTCCCTTGGGCACACCAGAAACCTATGATTGTGGGTTCGAATCCCGGTTCGCCCCGATTATGTTTCTAGGTTTGTCAGCACCATACCCGTGCTCGTGGGTATCACCTAAGACCTGACACACTTCGGGCTTTCCTCCCACATTAAGCTGACACACCGCGATATAACTGGAATACTGTTAAAAGCGGCGTTGAACCCAACTCACTCACTCAAAACGTTTTCAGGAAAATATAAAACGTCAACGATCGATTATCCGCCGAATGGATCACCGAAAATCAGTGATGACACCCGGTGTTCGCGAAACAGGTAATCAGACATGCGGAGGACATTTCCAAATTTGATCAGTGACAAAAAATATGCCCGATGTGTTCTTTATTTTAACTTGTACCATAAATTATGTTCACCTATTTTTAAGTGAACAATTGACCTGGCTTTGCATGTTTTTGTGGCGGATTTTGTCGCTTTTATTTAAATGCAATTCTGTTCCGAATACACCTGTAACATTTCAGCCTTAACATAAATTCCCCAACAAGACTTTATGGTATAAAAGTTGTGATTCCCGCACAAATCCAAAGTCGAATTTAAAAAGCAAATATATGACTTTTGAGACCGAATTACACCTCAAAGTATTAGCTGCTTGTAATAGCATTTTAATACATTTTATGGGATATCTTAAATTTGCCATTTTCATAAATTTAATCCGATAGTTTTCTGATCGTTAACATGCAAAGCGTTGGAGGCGATATGTCCCACATTCACCCAAAACAATGTGATGCTGCGTTGACGACTTGACACCTACACGTAGGAATCATTTACAAGCCAACATGTGAATAGTTTCGATGTTTGCTACATCTTCTCGTCCCCAGACCTGTCAGCCATATGACAGAATTGGCACTACTTTACTATGAAAATTCAAGAATGCGATTGCATTCTGTTAACCATGCGGTTCGGATCTAAGCATATGACGTCATTTATTGTATCTAAACACAAAAACACAAAATATTTGTGTAGCAGATCCAAAATTAAATTGATGATCGCGTGTGGTCGTGGGTACGTTTTTTGTATATTATACATGAACACACAATCTTCCGGACAACACAGCTGCAAAGGGAGGATGGCGATAGTTTAACATCAGCTGTCACGCAACTTTTAGTGTTTGTGCCTCAAGGGATATAAAAAACAGTAATTGAACATTTCTTTGCAAAACGTAATTCACCACATCGGTTAAAAAAATCGACAATCGAGTAGGTAGTATTCAAAATCTTTTTTTTTAAATCAAAGTTCGTATTTTTTTATATCGTTGTGCATTGTTATTACTTTTATTTTTTCCTTTCTTTTTAAAGACTACAGCTTCTTTTTTAATAAGGATCCTTGTTTCATAGAGTTGAAAAAAATGGAATATCGGTATTCATTTAATGTTGAGCTTGAAAAATTTCCTTTTCTTTAGTTTTTTTTCTACAGAGTGCAAACCAGGTGGATCGATTGTCACATATGACGTCATCCATGACGTCATCGTGTATGTCACAAAGTTATTTAATGCTCGTAGAAACAAACTACTGATAGGGCCTCACACTTACTAAATTATCTTAGTGGTTACCTTAAGATGTTGAATATTCTTTTAGTGCCCTATAATGAAGCTACAACTAATAACTGATTACGCGAAGGGTTACATGGAAGAGAATAAGTAAACAGGCTCGTTTATAAGACATCTAGCTGTGATACAACAATCTTTATTGAATCGATTCACAAGACGCACGATGGGAAATTTGTTGAATGATTTTGGTTCATTGATTTGAATCTGGAAATGATCAGATTATGTGTATATTCAATTACAGATTCAAGAATTCAAAGTTTTCTTTAATATGCGTTTTCAAATGAACACAATATACTATTATCTTTGGAGAAAACTAATACTCAGATATATCATTGTTGTCCACCCCATCATGAGACGATAACTGACATTAAACAAAAAAGACTCCCGTTTTCGCACTGAACATTGCGCCTGTACATACACTCTTCGAAAAAAGAAATGCACAGGTAGTATGTAGTGCATTGAACCTGACCACACAAAAAATCCGGTATATAAATTGGATA